CCGACGAGGCCACACTGGAGCAGGGTGGGCCCTGATCCAACACCACCGGCGTCTTTACGGGAAGGGAATTTGCACACGCACCTGGGGAGAAGCCACGTGGAGAGGAAGGCAGAGACCGGGCGCCGCGTCCACGAGCCAAGGGGCACAAAGATTGGCACAAGCACCAGAAGCCGGGCCGGGCCTGGTCAGGTTCCTGCTGACACGGAGGAGCCGGCCCGGCCCACCCCTGCGCGCCCAGTCAGGTCCTGCTGTTCGGGCCGCGTGGTCTGTGCTGCTGAGTCACAGCGGCCCCGGGTCTCCCAGGGGTCGTCCTCGGCCTGCAGAGGCCTCCCCACCAGCCGGCCCCGCAGCCCTCGCCCTGCGCCCTGGGCCCCCAGCCTGGGAGGCTGAGCCCCTGACAAGCTCCCTCTAACCTGAGTGAAGCCTGAGGAGCGGAAGGAGCCGCTGGGACCCAGGGCTGGGGGAGGGGCTTCCGCTGGGGCCCCCTGGCAGCCCCCGCGCTGTCCCCACACTCCCCCTTCCAGGGCCAGCTCGGGCATCCGGGATCCAGCAGGGAAGTCGAGGGCCGGGCCTGTCCTCGTGGAGTGCGCATTTAGTGGCAGAGACACGACTGCACCCAGCGGCCCCCAGATGCCCCATGACAGGCGGCCCAGAGAGAGCTCCAGGCTCCCCTTCGGCACCCGAAATGGCCTCCTCCTGGGGCCCGCGCAGGAGCCCTCCCCAAGACGCCATCCTGGACGCTTCCCGCACCGCACCTCTCGGGCCTCGGGGTCTGGGAGACCCTCTGGCCTGCTTGTCTCCCCTCCCACCTCCACCCTCCCACCTCCACCCGTCCACCCTCCACCCTTCACCCTCCACCCAGTCCTTGCGGCTCCTGCTGGCCTGGCCTTCTCCGCTGCCTGTCCAGGCTCCCTCTCTCCACACCCTCCCTCAGGGCAGGTCCCTGCTGAGCTCGGCACAGCCCCCACCCCCAGCATGGGCAGAGCCTGGCACCTGCCCTCGGCCCTGCCCTC